ATTTACTTTTTCTTTATGGATATTTTACAAATCACTCTCCTTTTAAAACTGTATTCTTGTTTATTAATAACAACTTTTTTTTACTGTCATATAGTATTTTATACCCGTTTACTTTATTATCTTGTTTTATGATAACTATAATGATCATATAAAGATGTGCCTTTACCTCACTGGTTGGAGAAAAAGCTTCTTATATTCGTTAGCATAGCTAGCTAACCAGATGCTAATAACAAAGTTATTGACTGTATGATCAGAATGACAGATGAACAGATCGACACTACAACTAAGACACAGCCACGCAAAAACTGCAGCATGTGTACGGACTTATGGGTACTGCAATTTTTTGAAGTCCCGGAGCGGCGTTCTGGTGCTCTCCGTCAGCACTGCACCCCTGTCAGACGAGACATATACCACGTGATGACACGTTAGGCTCGTATTGTGTTCAAGGACCATGACCGTTGCCAGGAAAAACAGGCACTCACTTGTTTAATTATTTTGCGGTCTAGATTTCTTTAATTTTTTTGCGTTTGTTTATAAATTACCTCGAGGGCCAAACCAAATGGTCTCGCGGGCCGTATACGGCCCGGGGGCCGGAGTTCCCCACTCCTGCTTTAGAGACTGATGAGAGGGACACCGGCTGGCTTCAGCAGCTTTCCACACAAAGCCATCACATCTTCTCTTCCATAGTCTTCACTGTCCACTGGTGCTCTGTCAAAAGAGTGAACATCACAGCTGTCATGTTAACCCTTTGTTACACATCATACAACCAACATGCGTCAAAAGTGACCAGAATTAGTTTGAATTGTAAATATCTTTGCAATAAATTACTTTTATCATTCAGGGTTCCAGGTATTCCTCAATTAACCTATTTTTGATCAACACCAATTCTAATTTAAATGTTTCCTTTCTTACCTTTTGAATACAAATCATGTTTGTATCACTACGCTTCAAAGGCACAACCTGGGTAAAAAATTACCCGTATTATTTTCCTATGTTATTTCATGCATGGCTGAGTGTTTCTTTACTATACATTTTTAAATCTATTTCTTTAGTCATTAATATTCAAAGTATTCATTAAATACCTTGTTTTTGATTGCCACAAATCATTATTTTCAATATCCCGTTCTTAATTGATGAACTAAAATAGTTTATGCCAAGTTTATGCCAACTATCGAGAAAATGATTTATGTAAAAATGTTTTACTTAAATGTTACTTTTTTTTGACACTTTTTTTTACAGTTTTACGTTCACCTTAAAATTACAAAGAAATATCTTAAAGTCTTATAATTAGGGCTGTCAAGTTAACGCGCTAACGCAATTTTTTTTTAACGCCACTAATTCTTTTAACGTGCGATTAACGTATTTGTTAGGGGTGTAACGGTATACGTACCCGTACCGAAATTATTCGGTACGTGCCCTTCGGTTCGGTACCCGTTCGGTACACGTCTGTACCGAACCAATATAACGTTAAACGTAAAAAATTGAGAACGTGAACAACTTTTTGGAAGTAATCTCAGATGCTGCGTCGCAGCATTCAGAGTAATTTGCTCACATTGGGTTCAATGCGTCATAGCGCAACCAAGTCATTTCATTGGACGAGAGGCATACTATGAGAGCTGGTCACAGGGATGCGTTCAAATGTAGTCAGTAATTTGAGGAAATGGCGAACGCAGATAAAGTTGAGGTCGAAAATCCTCCAGCATCATTGAAGTCTCCGGTTTGGGAGCATTTTGGTTTCGCAGTTACGTACAAGGATGACGGACAAAGACAGGTGGACCGAACCAAAGCTGTTTGTCGGCATTTTTCAACTAAAATTGGTTACACGGCTGGCAATACATCAAACTTAAACACTCATTTGAAAAGGCATCACCCGAACGTGAATATCACCGGTACCAAAAGAAAAAAGACTGAAGTGCAAACCCAACTCCCACTAGCATTTAAGCCTCCACCACTCGCAAAAAGTTCAGACCGAGCCAAAGCTATTACAAATGCCAAATATCCTTATGTTGCCATGTTAGCAAAGCGCTACCTGGCTGTATCTGCTACCTCTGTCCCTAGCGAGAGGGTGTTCTCCACAGCAGGAGACATTGTTAGTGCCAGCAGATCTGCCCTTTCGGCAAGCAATGTGGACAAGTTAATTTTTCTTTAAAAAAACATGAAAATACAATGACAAGCTAGTCATAATGTCAAACTGGCTGCTTAGGTACTAGTACAGTACAGATCAAATACAGATTATTTCAGTTCATTGAAATGCTGCACCTTAATGTTAATTGTATTATATTTTGTATTTGAGTGAATATTCACAATTTAATAATAATTAAAAACCCAAAACTAATAGTTTATGTTTTGTGAGTACTAGTACAGTAAAGTTCAAATACAGATTATTTCAGTTCATCGAAATGTTGCACCTTAATGTTTATTTTATTATATTTTGTATTTATTTGAGTGAATACATTATTCACAGTTTAATAATAATACAATTTTTAAAAAACTGTTATGTTTTGTGATCATTTTTTCTGCTGTACCGAACCGTGACCTAAAAACCGAGGTACGTACCGAACCGAAATGTTTGTGAACCGTTACACCCCTAGTATTTGTCCTCGGCCCGCCCCGTAGTTTCAGAGCCCAAAAGCTTGACGTTGTTGTTGTTAGTTGGATGGTGGGAGATTCTAGCAAGAGATATGAATACAAGGAAAGGTGTTTTAAACAGCAAGCCAAGCACACAGCTGATGCTGACAGCTCGTGGTCTGCCGCTCGCTTGCGGCAGACCACGCTTGAAAGCTTGCCGGGGAGACGCCTGGACGAGGCGTCTACGAGCAGCATGCTTTCAACAGTGATGGCTAAATGGGTGGCGGTGGCTACAGCTTGCAGGACAATTAACATTGTGGAGGACGAGGGACTTTGTGAGATAATTCGGATCGCATCCAACGTGTCGACTGCACATCACAGCGCATTATTTTGACCCCTGTGGGAACTTCAGTCTCATACTTTGACTATTATGAAGACAGAGGAGCGGCATTTTGCCGACAACTGTAAACAGGCTTGTCTGTTTGAGCAACTGGCTCAGTGCAGAGGAGTACACAGGGTTGGGAGAGAGTGTAAGAGAGAGAGGTTCCAGGTTGTTGTATTGAAAATATTCAGGAATATGTCATTGTTCCAATGATAATAAACGAACATTTGCATAACGCATATTTGTCCACTCATATGTTGATAAGAGTATTAAAAACTTGAAAAATATTCCTCTAAGGTACATTTAGAACAGATAAAAAATGTGTGATTAATCACGATTAACTATGGACATCATGCGATTAATCGCGATTAAATATTTTAATCGACTGACGGCCCTACTTATAATAGTAATACGATTTTATGTTATGAGTTACATATTTAATTACAGATAATTTTTATTTTACGTACATCTGCATGTATTTTCTGAAAGTGCAAAAATACTGTAAATATTATATAGTAAATTTACTTTAAAAAAAATGAAATAAATGTTATTTGTTGTCAAAATAGTTAAAATAATGTTTTGGGTTGTTAATTTATAGTTAATATCTGTAATTTTACAGGATTTAGCTAGTTATTTAAAAAAACATGATAATTACTATAACAAATGAGTTATTTCCTGTAAAATTAGGATGTTTTTTTACAGTGTAGATTTTTAAATGCTAACACTTCACCAGTTAAGCCCCAAGCCTGTTTTTCAGGTCTCAAGCTCGAAAATGACATTCCCAGAACAAATGACTATATCTTCACTTCCAAAAGGGGTAAATTAATTATCTTTTTTCTCAAAGCAATGATAAACCCGTGAGTTGGAGGTAGAAAAGTCAGAATCAATATAGATTTTAAATTCAGATTGAACATAGTAAACATTTTTTAATTATAGTGTCCGTCCAAAAAACAACAACATTACTTGTAGTGAAAACCACCCTTGAATGATGGGATAGTAGACTAAAAGCTTTAGGAATCCAAACTATAACATATAAGTACCCTGCATCAAGATTGATGCAAAACAAGTGCGATTTGATCTTTTCAAAGATATTTAGAAATAAAACTCCACTTCTGAGTTCATTTGGGTGGATTTGCAGTCAGCATGTCGTTGTGTCCCTCGGCAAGACACTTCGCCCCAAATTGCTCCTCTGGGGATTGGCCACAGTATTGAGTATGTAAGTCCCTTTGGATAAAAGCGTCTAACAAGTGACATGTAATGTAATGTAATCTCTGGCCCCCCTCGGTCGATTTTGATGATTACCACCTGTTTTGAACCGTTAGAGCCAATAGGATCGAGGGGAAGTTCCTAAAATCCATCTAAACATTACCATTGGTGAATGCATGCCAGAATGTCCAAAACCGGAAGCTGTGTTGTAGCTCTCACACACTCTCGTAGCTCTCATGGCAGCTATATATGAAATCTCAGTTTTTGACAAAAAGGTTATGAAGGATTATCAGTAATCCTTTCAAAGTGACACGGACACATTAGATTAACCTTCAGCAGCGTTTCTATCGTTTTAATGCCATTGAACACAACTTTTGACCAGAAAACAGCAAAGGTAAAACGTATTTGCCATTTTGGCTCTGTAAAGCTAAGTTGTGAGTGGTCTGGTTTCACCTTCGCTGCCCTGAGTTTTGGTCACAGTGATGATACTTATACCTCTGGAATCTGTGGAATCTCAGCTTTCGATTGATATCTTGTTTGTGCAGATCCGATGAGTAATACAATATTTCTACCGTGAGTTCTGTGCTAAGTGTGTTAGCATTTTCGCTTATGCTAATTCAGAGGCTTGGTATTACCCTTGTGTTTAATTTAGCTAAAAATTGTTAATATTGTCTGATAGCTGAGTTTATTCCAGTTAAGTGGGTATGACACATTCATAGTTTGTTAAATGTTAAGAAGCCCTCAGACGCTGTTTCTTGCAGGATGTTGCATTTTGCCCCCGGTACTGGGGAAATGGGGCTTAACTGGTTAACAGTTTTTTCTGACTGTGTGTTTCCTCCCTCAGCAGCAACAGGAGGAACTCAGGATCAGTCAGGAGGGAAAGCAGCTTCAAGAGCTGGAGGAGGCTGATATCACCAAGTCCACTTTCAGTCTTGACCCTGTGAAGATAATAAAGAGAAACCTCAGTCCTCACAGCCTCATCAAAGACAAACTGAACACATGGAAACAGAAGCTGATGGAGATGACTGTCGAGGACCAGAACCAGCCAGGAACTCAGATCCAGAGAGCAGTTTACAACCAAAGACTGAGGACGACCCTGAAGACTCTTCTGAACCTGACACTGAACACAGTGCTGATTGGAAGGAGACCAGAGAACCTGCGTCAGGCTCAAACTCACTGGAAAATAGACAAGAATCTGTCAGTGATTCAAGCCGTAGTGCTGTAAAGAAACAATTTGGCTGCTCTGTGTGTATGAAATATTTTACAAATACAAGAGAAGTTCAGCGACACATGAAAATCCACACAGATGAGAAACCATTTAGCTGCTCAGTTTGTACCAAATCTTTTGCATTGAGTGAAAGTTTAAAAAAACACATGAAAATCCACACAGGAGAGAAACCCTTTAGCTGCTCAGTTTGTACCAAATCTTTTGTATTGAGTGAACGTTTAAAAAAACACATGAAAATCCACACCGGAGAGAAACCATTCAGCTGCTCAGTCTGTAAGAAATCTTTTGCAGAGAAAAGAGATGTAAATCGACACATGAGAGTCCACACAGGAGAGAAACCACACAGCTGCTCAGTCTGCAGGAAAGCTTTTTCACAGAGAGGAAGTTTAAAGACACACATGAGAGTCCACACAGGAGTGAAACCACACAGCTGCTCAGTCTGTAAGAAAGCTTTTTCACAGAGTAGAAGTTTAAAAAAACACATGAGAGTCCACACAGAACAAAAAATGTAAATGGCGTAGTGATTTCAGAAGACACAAGTGTGTTGGTCGTCAGTCCTCAAAGCTTAATGAAATTCAAACTGAGGATAACAGAGAGGCAGAGCCTCCAATCAGCAGCTCAGCTGGAAACACATGGAAACAGAAGCTGATGGAGAGGACAATAAATAAGTCTTATAACAGTTCACACGTGAGAAAAATCTGCCTGACCGGATTAACATTGTTGTACAATATTCATATAAGACTCAAATGAACTCCATCTTTATCAATATAAGTGGATGTCCAATATGTTTATGCTTTGCTTGATTAAATCTACTGAAATGAGCATTCTATGACTAAATTATTCTTAATTACTTTCATTACATCATGGGTTTGCATTGCAATATTAGAACGCATAAAACCCAACTTTATTTGTTAGGGGTGTAACGGTATATGTACCCGTACCGAAATTATTCGGTACGTGCCCTTCGGTTCGGTACCCGTTCGGTACACGTCTGTACCGAACCAATATAACGTTAAACGTAAAAAATTGAGAACGTGAACAACTTTTTGGAAGTAATCTCAGGTGCTGCGTCGCATCATTCAGAGTAGTTTGCTCACATTGGGTTCAATGCGTCATAGCGCGACCAAGTCATTTCATTGGACGAGAGGCATACTATGAGAGCTGGTCACAGGGATGCGTTCAAATGTAGTCAGTAATTTGAGGAAATGGCGAACGCAGATAAAGTTGAGGTCGAAAATCCTCCAGCATCATTGAAGTCTCCGGTTTGGGAACATTTTGGTTTCGCAGTTACGTACAAGGATGACGGATAAAGACAGGTGGACCGAACCAAAGCTGTTTGTCGGCATTTTTCAACTAAAATTGGTTACACGGCTGGCAATACATCAAACTTAAACACTCATTTGAAAAGGCATCACCCGAACGTGAATATCACCGGTACCAAAAGAAAAAAGACTGAAGTGCAAAGCCAACTCCCACTAGCATTTAAGCCTCCACCACTCGCAAAAAGTTCAGACCGAGCCAAAGCTATTACAAACGCCAAATATCCTTATGTTGCCATGTTAGCAAAGCGCTACCTGGCTGTATCTGCTACCTCTGTCCCTAGCGAGAGGGTGTTCTCCACAGCAGGAGACATTGTTAGTGCCAGCAGATCTGCCCTTTCGGCAAGCAATGTGGACAAGTTAATTTTTCTTTAAAAAAACATGAAAATACAATGACAAGTTTGCATTGCAATATTAGAACGCATAAAACCCAACTTTATTTCTTCTAAGTTGCAGGTGTTCATTGTTTAGAAGTCCGCTGTGTTTCATCCAAGCTTCCACTTCGTGCTCCAATAATGCTGAAAGTATCTGTTGTATGCTTTACCTTCTCCAGTAACAAAAGTGTAATTCACTGGACAGAGACAAGAGATAGTGGATGGATCCAGAAAATAAGCAGAAGATAGTCCATATAGAGCCTTCAGGTTCTGAAAATTATCAGGGATAGAGCTAGAAAAAAACTCCAAAAACCTGAATAGAGCTAGAAGATAGCCATTACAAAGCCAAGAAAGACCCAGTAGAAAAACAGGAAGGAGCCAAAAGAGTTTATATTTTTTAATATTCAAGCTCTTCTCTTAAGGTATTAGAACTTCCTTTCATTCCAATGAAAACACTTTACATTTTTGCTGCAAATTATTGAGATTGTTTCACAGCTTTTATCTTAAAATATTTCACGTTATTTTTTCTTTACATATACAATACATAGGATGAACAGCACGATCCACTCTGCTGGATTCTGCCCAAATCTGCTCAAAATGCATGCAAACATCTCGCTTTATCCATACTCCTGCAGTTGTATTGTTCTGGATTCATAGTGAAATGTATTAGATGTTCTGCACTGTTATTGTTATGTATTTAATATAAAGTGAAATACACATTTAAAAAAAGTCAGAAAAGAAAAGGGACTCTCTTAAGGAAAAAGGTTCTGAACCAGTGAGAGTTCTTCATATGCACATAAACATGGTAAATTATTTAAAGTTGTGACCAGATGGTGTCGCCCTCTGCACACATTTAACGCTTTGCATTTTATTTATTTATTTTACCTTTTATACCACACTACAAGTCTGACATTTATTAATGAGACGACTGGAAATTACACTGCAGATTTAAACACAGCTCAAGTCTTTCACAGCCAGAAATATTTCTCTGTGTCACCTTGTCTATTATCTTGCTTTTTTTCACAGCTAGAAATATTCAAGCAGAAAAATCAGTGCCTGTTAAATCAAAGGGAAGGCAATCATCTAAGACAACATTTGTGAAGCGGATAAGATCAACTCGGCGTACAAGACACATCAATCCTGTGATTTTTGGTCATAATCCAGGCTCTATGTTCACATAGAGAAGGATATTACATTGTTTTGGGGCCTATGTCGGTTAAAAGCCAGCGGAAGGGTGTATTAGTCTGGGAAATATCTCATAAAGTTGTAAATTAACACGAAAGAAACTGATACCTTTTTAAAAAAGAAGTGTTTGAAGCTTGTTCTCCCCCTGCTCTCCTACGTGATGTCCGGCTGGCGTTACTTCACCGGATGGGTGACTCTCCTGACCTTCATCTGTCCTTCCTGTTTTCTCGCATCACAAGTCAGATAAACATTCATGTAACTATGAAACAATAACATCACTATATTGCAAATCCAGTATGCCAAAAAACAAAAGGTATCTGTAATGTTTGTAGAATAATGTATTTGTGTAGCAACCTTTCAAACACTTTGGAAGTGGACAATGCCAAACTTATATAATACAGCATCTCTGTAAAGCTATATAATAATATAGACGGTTTATTCTTAACAGGTCCAACATTACACATTGCAAACTCAAAGCTTATTACGTTTATGTCAGGATCTAGCCTGTAGTTTCAGCTAGTTTTAATTGTGTCAGCTATGTTATTTAGTTTTTATCCTGTATAACTTATAAAGTAACGTTAAAATATATCTAAATGTTGTTTCAAGAGTACATATTAACAGAACCGAAGTCCCGTTTTTATCATACGTTTCAACCTCCTCATATTTTTCTCAGCCAGGTTTGATTTTGATACTAAAAGCCTGGGGATGCAAGTCCTATTTTAGCCAAATAACTATTAACTAGTTTAGTTTGATTGAACTGCTGGTCTCTGTTTGAGTCTGACACATGTTCCTTGTCTCCGCAGACCACGGTGCGCCTGTATCCGTTCCAGATCCACAGCATCGCTCTCTCCTCCTTCGCCTCCATCATGGGACCCTTCGGATGATTCTTTGCCAGCGGCTTCAAGAGAGCCTTCAAGATCAAAGTAGGGATTTCTGACACGTTTGTTTACTTCAAAACACTCCAACTATCCCTTTTATTGTCTGTTGTCTTTACTCCGTTTATATTATATGCATAGCAGCAGTCTGATCACATGTACTGTTGTCTGCTCTTCCAGGATTTTGCCAACACGATCCCGGGTCACGGTGGCATTATGGACCGGTTCGACTGCCAGTACCTCATGGTCACATTTGTTAACGTCTACATTGCCAGCTTCATCAGGTAAACACACAGCTATGGTTTGTTAATATGATGAATATATTGATTAGCAATGTGATGACAGTGAAGGAATTCATCATCAAAGTTAGTGGTTATTTTTTTTATTTCCGACTGTTAGAGAAAGCATTTTATTTCTTGAAGAAAACAAACTGTTGGTTGAACATTAAATTAGCTAGCTTGTTGATAACCATTAAAGACTTATCTATGTATCTTGAGTTGTTTCATGTCTTCCTCTGTCACTGAATAAATATACAAACATTAAACTAAAGTATGAAAACTGAACTTTGTTTGAGACTTTTCAATATTGGTCAATATCGCTGTAGGGTGCCTTTGAGACTTCATGATTACTTAAAAAAGATTTTAAATGTAACTTCATATTGAGTTTACTATAGATCAGGCTGTAAAAATGCTATGTAGTCAAGCTCCAGCACTTTTTATAAATGAGCTCAAAGCAGATAAAGCATGTGGTTCCAGCTTGAACCCTCAGAAAAGGAGCCCTCCAATTTAACATGTTCATATTTTTAGTTTTTATTATTTTTCCACCCATCAATTTATTTGGGTTCGATGGTGAGATTTGATGTTATAATCTTAGTAATTTCCCTCCCTAATTATCTTCCCTCTCCTCTCAGGGGCCCAAACCCCAGCAAGGTGATCCAGCAGCTCCTGACGCTGCGCATCGACCAGCAGCTCCACATCTTCAACTCCTTGAAGGCTCACCTGACGGAGAAGGGTTTCCTGCCGGCGCTGGAGGACGTCATGACCAGACCCCCCCCCCCCCCCCTCACCCCCCCCCCCTCACCCACTGTGGCTCACCCTGAGGGGAAGAAGAGAGAGGAGGGCAGCACCCGAGGACCCCTTGCTGACCCGGGACACTGGCAGTGATTTGTGTGTGAGCGAAAAACACATCAGAGAAAAAAGAAAAACGCCATAAAACTTCAGCTTTTGTTCATTCCACGTCATTTGGTCTGGGAGTCCAGTGTTTGTGAGTTACTGCACTGTTACACATTTCTGTTATAGACGACTTGTATTAACACTGTTGGTCAGATAGACATTTCTACTAAATACATGGGTCCATGGGTAGAGTTCTTCAGAATTGACTGGCAACTCGACCGTGAAGTCAGAACCTCTGACTCTTTGACTTGTTTTGTGAATTCTCCGGCCGAAGCTCCTAATAGACCATCAGTGTTTGACATCAAAGCTCCAACTCTCCCCGTGTCTCCTTCCTGAGTCGGTGACTCCCACTGCCTTACTACACAGAAGTGTCTCCCACAAATTGGCGTTGTCGGCAGGATACCAACAAATCTTCAAAACAGAGGCCTGTACTACGAAGCCGGTTGAGGTTTGAGTTAGCCGGTTGGCCTAAACCAAAACATACGCGCTCTCGCTAAGCGGTCCTACGACGCTGGTTATCAAGCCAGCCGTGCCCTATCTAGTTAGGTGCGCGTTCACATGAAAGGGGTGGTATTTGGAGCATTCGACCAATCACAAACATGGAGAAGCGCACTGACAGCGCAGCGTCATACTTCCTGAATGAAAAGTGAACTTTAATATTAGTCAAATATGAAGAAGTTAAACTTTAAACATCCATGACTTACACACTTTATCCAGGATAAAAGCCACATAGCTGCACCTGCAAGGTGAATACAGCTGGTAAAAGAAAAAGTGTTTGAATGCGTACAGGTCCGACCCTCCCTACAGGCCAATCACGCAGGCTGCATGGGGCCCCGCCTTGCGCAGGGGGCCCCGCCCAGAGGGCCTCAGCTGCTGTGCGCAGTTCTCCGCGCACCCCCCGCTGACACGCGAGAGGGAGAGGTGACAAGGGGAGCACGTCTGTAACCCGACACCGTTGCAATGAATCGACATCTGACCAATCACGGCTTTGATACGGCCACTAGTGCAGGTGAAGAGATGTCGGCGAAAATACCGTTTCAGTCCGGCGCAAGCAAGAGGGGAAAAAAACAAAACATGAAGAAACTAGAGCATCACTCGAAGGTGGGTTATTGTATGAGTCAAATGTACAACTTGCGAATGTTGTATAAGTCAAATTGCCAATTGCCATATTAAAACATCAGCTGCAATTCACAACATGAAGAAGGCAGTCTCTGCATAGCATATAGGCTAATGGAGATGCAGTTATTTCCAGCATTCTTTATTTAACATTCATTCAAGTATTTTATGCCTTTTATCTGCTAATGTACAGGAGGAGGAGTGCTCTGTCTGTCTAGTTGGCTTACATAACAGTTCAAGTTTACAGCCTAAAAAACATGGAGCATTTTTCCCCCTTTTATTCATTTGTATGTCAATTTGCACATTTCATGGTGATGCTCAGCCTCTCCCCCTTAACCCCTAACAGTCATCATCATGTCAACCACAACACAGACAAATACTGGTAGAAATGTGTGTGTAGTTGTTGATACATTGCTCACAGAGGGAACTACAGATTTAAGAAATATCAGTTTTTGAGCATGTCATAAGCATGCTTTGTCTTCACTATATTACAACTATATTATAATAAAAATAATATAGTATTTATATTATTGAATTGATCATGATTATGATTATGATTATTAGTAGAAGTAGTTTATTTGCATTTATTATATTTTAATCTTTTTGAGGCTAGTATTTGGCAGGAAATGCAGACGTATTCACCTGTAAACGCATACTGAACGACATACATGCACATTTACCATTTACCTCACTGTATAAAAAAGTAACTGTGTTGATAATAATAATAAACAGGAATTATATTTGCAAAGTACTTTGTTTCCAAAAAAAAAGTTTTCACAATGTGACTGGGGGCCCCGAGTTGGCCAGGGGCGGCCCTGAATGCGTACATTAACAGGTTTATGATATGCCCCGTCTAAGACACGAGTAGATCTGACTTTAATTAATTACATTTGACTCGAGTGTTTCGTCAACTTAATGTGTTGCTTAAAATAATACTTCTGCATACAGTATGTGACACTGTGAGTGTTGCACGGCCAGATACGGCTCAAGAAGCTGACTCAGACAAGGAAATATATGATATATTATGATGTGATATGAATGATAATGCGACACATCGACGTCTGCACTCAGTGTACTTATGTTGTGGCAGATATTTAAGTAAGCTTTCTTCACGCTAATGTTATAATAGTCAGATTGCTCTGAAGATGGGAGGTGATATTCTGTTGAGATATAACATACAGAGCAGTGGCGAGCCGTGACTTTTATACCTAGGCCCTCTGACCCCCCTCTTCCCTCGAAAAAAAAGAAGAGATATTACGTCACAGCGTATACTTCAGCAGAATATCAAAACAGCGGCCCGGGGTGCAAAACGCATCAATGACAGCGACCCTCTACCACACAAAACAACATGATTGATATAAACACCTATCATGACAGGGCACCCACAGCCAAGTAACAATTACAAATGAATTAAGTCGGCACGGCGGCCCGCATTGAAAATGACTTAGGCCTACCTTTGATGATCAAATCACTTAAACACAAAGTCTATCCTCCTGTCCTTTTGGATGAAGCACTTGCGGGTCATTCAGCTGAGCCTTTGCCACTCCAGTTTATCATTGTAACTCAATCTTGAAAATGACTCGGTTAATAATTTCGCAACGATGTCATCACTATCACTGAAGTGAGCCATCATGAACGAACTTATGCTAATTGTAAATCTATCGATCATAAATCTATCGATTAGATTTATGATTCGAAAATAATAAAAGTAGGGTAGACATGTGGATATTATCCGGCTGAACAAAACGTGCATTTATCTAACAGGTTTGTTTTCCACAGACCTTATTTCGAGCTATTTTCCAAAATCCTATGGAGAAATCCCATTGCTTTCTGTCGAGGGAATCCGAGTGAAGCTTACTTCCGGGGTTTAGGACGCGTCACTGCACCCCTTGCACACAGCGGGCGGAACTTGTCATAAAGTCCGCGAAAATAAAGCCCGCCCATTTAGAGGGAAGATATGATTGGTCAATTGTACTGTCATTTGACATTACTCTCTCGTTGAGTTACTATAGCTGGCCCTCTGTGAATGTAGAGAGGGACCAACAAGCTCTCCCGTCTTCACAGTAAATCGCAAAGACGGCATTTAACCCTTCACATTCCAACAGAAACTGAACAGGCAGATTCGAAGGATTTATTTCTTTGGAAATATTATTTGAAATACAATTAAATCAAGTTATTTTGGTAAAACTAATGAAAAATGTAACAACAAAAACATATTAAAAATAATATTAAATTTTTTTTTTTTTTTTTAATGTTTTCAAATATTATTTTTTAGAATATCTTAGGCCCTCACAGAGGGCCTAGAGGGCCCTGACGGCTCGCCACTGATACAGAGACATGTATAGTGTATGACTCCATGTATTACTGTGTACCATATATTGTTTATGTAAGTAGCTGCGACTACTACCTTGTTCATTGGTTAGCGCTGTACCACATGATTGATGATGTCACTACCTGGGGTATAAAACCGTTGGAAGTCACACCCCTTCTCTCTCTGTCCTCAAGTCTCTTGAGATGTGTGCCTATAATAAATAACGCCGTGATGAATGGCTAAACTTGAACTGCTGAGATTATTCACCTTTCTGCTGCAGGAGACAAAAGGTATAAATCTAAATCTGCTAACATATTCTATTCATTTTCACGTTCACACGGTCAGTGGATTTTTGCCGGCCGTCTTTCCTGCAACGGCAGTTTTTCTGTATGTCCTCTATCCTGTAATATGACTTGATATCGTTAAACTCTGCACACGGAGCTCTGATTGGTCAGCAGGCGATGCTTTCGCTGAGTTGATCTCTTAGCATGCAACCTATCCTGCTCCGGCGCAGGCTAGCCGTTCAGAATAAGTTATCTAACCCGCTAAAAAGTGAACTAGCTTCGTAGGACCGGAAATCCCTGAAGTTAGCTTGCTAAACGAAAATCCTGATTCCTAGTATAGGCCCCCCAGGGGCCAGGATGGTGCGTTCACACCTGCCTTGTATAGTCCGGTTGAATCGAACCCTGGTGCGTTCAGCCGCTTGGTGCGGTTCATTTGGGTCGGTGTGAACACAATCCGAGACGGTACTCTTAAGTGAACTAAACAACCGGACTCTGGTCCGCTAAAATAGGTGGTCTCGGAACACTTGCTTGCGAACTCTGGAGCGGTTCATTGCTGGTGTGAACGCAGTCCGCACCAAAACATAGGAAGCGTAGTATTTACGTGTCACAAGAACGCGGATATCTTCAAAATCTTTAGCGAAAGAGTCTTTCAAGACATCCGCGGTTGTTTAGTTAAAGAAGCAGAATGAAGTGTAAAGTGTCGTGTAAAGTAAAGATTCTCTGTCAGCTAGGCCTACATAAAAGTAAGAACACCTGTCGTCGGTGAAACGCCCCTCCTTACTGCAGAACGTCTCTCATTATATGTTATAATGTTTTTTAACGGACGTTGTCTGATTATATAATCATATGCGCGGCCCCGGCGCTAGTGTCTGTTGATCTCCAGATTAACAGCAGCAGCATGAGAATAACCTGCCGAAAGTGCCGATGCTCCATGGCGGAGGCTCCGGTAGAAATTGCCGGGATTTGTGTTTTTACCCCCTTAATGTCTGACCAATGGTTGAACAGCATTTCCGTGCACATGACTTGTGTTTAAAGTTTATAGTTCGTTTGAGATTTGTCCGTGTGAACGCAAACCGAACCTTCTGAAAAATGAAACAATGTAACAAACTGTCTTCTGGTGCGCACCAGAAAACGGACTATTAGGTGTGAATGCACCC